TCCGGAAGTAGGCGAGGGGTTGGAAGAAGCAGATGCAGATGTAGAAGTCGAGTCGCTGGTAGAGGTCGAAGTGGATCCTACGGATGGGTTCCGCAATGTCTCCTGCGACGCTGTGAAGATCCTCAGGGGCGCCCCAGGTACCTCTCTCTCCCTTATCGTCCTGTCTCTCTGCATCCCCTGCCCTCCCGCCACACCTCCCTCAGTCGCAGCCGCAGCCCCATGAGTCCTCCCACCTGCACCTGCAGCCGCAGCTCCATGCCTTTCCTCCCTCTCCCTCTCCCTCCTATCACCAGAGGCATCGCCCCCACTCCCACTGCCCCCACCACCACCACCCCTCGCTGTCCTCTCCCCACTCCCCGTCTCCTCCTCCGGCTCCTTCGCAGAGCACCAAAACCTGTGTCCCTCCGACCACGCAGTCGACTGACACTCCTTGCCACAGTACTTGGCCTTCCTGCAACGACGGCACTTGGCAAATTCGCGTGGATAGGACTCCCATTTCCCGCAGAGCACTGGAAGAGAGAGAGGAAGAGGATTAGCTCAATTCAACCAGAGGAGGAAGAAAAGGAAAAGAAGGAGGATCGAATCTCGCAGCCATCGTCCACCCTTCAGACCGAACCCAGCACAAACGAGTCCGGCACCCCAACCACCCAAACAAGAACGAAATGGAACGTCAGCTCACTATTCGCACACTGCCTAATCCCCCCCCTCGAATCATCCTTCCTACACGCATTCCGCATAATAACACCCGCCCAATACTGTATCTCCACCGGCAACTTGGGCGGCGGATTCGGCAGGTCCGCCTCAGACGAAGAAGGGCGGAACGTGAATCGCTCGACGAGGGAAAAGACATTGGTTTGGCGAGGGAGAAGCGTCGGCTCGTCTTTCTCTTTGTCTTTGGAGGCTTTCTGGGAAGCGGAAGAAGCAGAAGAAGAGTCGGGTTTGGAAGAAGGCGAATCGCCCTTTGTCGATGAAGATGCCTGAGCCTGGGTAGACGACGCAGAAGAAGAAGACGACTTGGACGAGTCCTTTCCACCCGAATGGGACTGCGTCTCCTTCTCCTGTCCCCTCCTCGACCCTCCACCATACGGCGGAATCGTCAACGCTCCAAACGGCCCCGTCCCCGACCCCGTCCCATTCGTCGGCGACCCCCTCGAGCTCTGAGCTGAACCTCTCGCAGGACTCGCCGCACCAGTCCCCCTCAACACCGGCCTCCCACTCCCAATCACTCCCAATCCCGCCGCTCCACTCCTAGACGACGACCCACTCCCCCTCGACGGCGATCCAAAGGCGCGTAAAAAGCCTGATAATCCTTCCCTGGGTGCAGCCGACGTCGACGCAGCCAGATTTGCCTTGCCCTTCTCCTTCTCCTCGCCCTTGTCTTTCTCTTTCTCCGATCCCTTCCCTGACGATGCAGCAGCAGCGTCCTTGCCCTTCACCTTCGACGACGAAGCATCCTTGCCCTTCCCCTCCTTGGATTCGCCCTTCCCAACCTCATAAAACGTCCCCCTACTCGCAGGATGGAAAGTCCGACACGGCTCATAAAACGCCTGTCTCACATGTGGGTATTTAGACAGGTATGCTAGGAGCTGGAGAGAGAGGAGGACGTCTTCGTCGCGATATGGACCTGGCGTAGGATCTGTGGGTGCGTGTGCATGTGCATGGTGGTGTGCGTGGTGGGGATGAGCTGGATGTGGATGTGGATGCGCAGCGTGGGGATGGGTATGAACGGCGTGAAGATGTGCGTGGGTGAGATGTGTGCGTCTGGGAACGGCAGTTGGCGTTGTTGTTGTCGTCGCTGTCACAATCCTCGGTGTCGCGGAAGGAACAGTCGGCGTACGTCCGTGCACGCTTATAGCAGCAGCCGACGTCGAACCGTTCGAATGACCAAAAGTCGAAGTTGAGTGGCCAGAGGTGGACGCGGTCGACACGGACGTCGAAGCACTCGACTGCCCAGAAGTCGAAGCACCAGAATACCCAGACGTCGAAGTCGACTGCCCAGATGACGAAACGCCCGAATCCGAATGACCAGAGCGCTCCAAAACACTAGGCAACCCACTCGACCCTGCACGCGGCGTCGCATCAGGAGCGTGTCTCCTCCCATGATGTCTCCCACTCCCACTCCCACTAGTAGAGGAAAGAGAATGTCCACTGGACATTCTACTCCTCCGCGCCCTTCTCGGCGTCCCCTCCACCTCCACCTCCATCTCCTCATCATCGTCCCCGTCCATCTCCGTCTCCTCATCCGCATCACCCGCCTCCGCCTCCGCATCCACACTCACAACTTCTTCCACGTCCACGTCCACGTCCATCGCACCCGGCTGTCCCTCTGCAGACCCAACACTCGGTGAACTCGGCCCTACACTCCCCGGCCCCGGACTCGGACTCGGACTAACACTCTCCCCCCTCCTCCCTCCAACACCGACCAACCGCTCCAACGCCCCCGGCGCCCCAGGCGGCGCACCCATCGCAAAATCGTCGTTCCTCGCGCCCATCACCCCCGCGCCGAAATCATCAGGGTCGATAGGGTCCATGTCGACGGTGATGTTGATGGTGTCGATGGCGCCGACGATGGTAGGTGCGTCTGAAGCGTCTGTGATTATGATATGTTGGTGGGGGTTCGCCGAGGCGCGGCGGGGACGGCGGATGGTGCCCCCACGAGAAGGACCAGCCATATCCACATCCGTGCCCTCTTCTTCCTCGCGCTCCGTCTCTGTTTCTGGGCGGGAGGAGTCAGATGGGGAAGAAGGGCGGTGGGTAAGAGGGGGACGGGCGCGGCGGGTGGTTGCGATGATGGTGCCGCTGCGATCGCGTGCGGGTTGGGGATGCGCGTGGGTATGGGGGAAAGAGGAGGATGCGGTGGTGGTAGGTGTGTGCGCGCCTTGGGGAGTTGCGGCTGTAGAGTTATCTGTCGCTGATTCTTCATCGGCGTCGCCATCTGCGTCTTCGGAGGGTGTAGAGGCTGATGTGCTGGCGGGAAGCAGAAGACCTCGTCCTTGTCCACCTCCGTGTCCCTGTATTCCAGTCCTTAGTCAATTACAGGGGGCGATGAGGGTAGACGTCGACTGACCTGAGAAAGATGAATACTCCTCTGCAACGCCCTATCCAACTCCATTGCCTCTTCCCTCTGCCTCATCTCCTGCATCGCCACCCTCCTCGCATGTCTCTGTTCCCTACTCTCCCTCGGCAGCCCCGTGGCACTCGAACTCGGCCCAACAGCAAACCCCTTATTCGCTAGCCACGCTTCTAGAATACATCCCACCACCTGAAGCGTCCCAGCCTGAACGACTCTACTCCTGATAGGCTCGCTTCCGCGCACACCAATGTTCACGACGCACTGGAATGCGAGGCTGAAGCGGTATGCGGCGTGTTTGTCGTATGATGGTGGGTTGAGGGTTGGTGGGAGGCGCGGGGGGCGGAGAGAGGGGGGCGAGAGTCCGTAGACGAGGGAAGCGTTCTCGGGTGGAGGGGGGCAGATGCAGAAGTCCTGTAGGATGCGGACGAGACGCTCTAGACCGCCGTCCATTGTCATTATTTCGCGGATGCGGGGGGAGGTGGAGGTGAGGTATGTGAGGTGGGTAAGGGAGTTGAAGAGCGGGAGCGGGGAGGTGGTGTCTAGTGCTGTTTACGTTGCGGGATGGTTAGATGCGGGAATAAAATGCGGGGAAGCCCCGCTCACCTCGTCGGTCGTAAAGCTGGGAGGTTATACAGACACATGCCCGGTTCTGGGATGGAAACGCAAAGTTGCTCTCCCGCATCGTTGGATTTGACAAAGGTGTAGCAGGAGGAGAACAGCTAAGATGAATAGATTATAACGCTCGTCGTCGTCGGTGTCGATGATGAGAGCAGGAAGGAAGAAGTCGTAGTCGGTTGGTTGGTTGGTTGATCGTCGTCGTCGTCGTCGTCCGTGCCAAACACGAGTTGCAATGGCCTCTCCTGAGTAAGCCACAAACCGCTGATTATGTCATCCCATCACAACACCCAACCGCACTCTTTGTGCCACCATAACTGGACTCGGCTTGTTCTCTCTGCTTGCGCTTTCACTGGCTGATGGTCTTTGTGTTTGGAATGTAGAAGGGAATGCAGGATATGACATTACTTCTTGGTACATACTTGACCCCGCTGTGCTCTGCGCTCTCGCCCTCTGATGCTCTTGTCTGTGCCCTCTGCCCTGAACGACCGTCACACGATCATCTGAAGCCTAACTTAGCTCGCGCGATCCACACTCGGGGGCCGTCCTCGTCCAGAGTGCTTAATTCCAAACTCGCCACGACCTCTATCAATCGCTTTGTGTTTCTATTTCCTCCACTCCCGTACTTGATCCTGAGATTCCTTTCTCTACGTATCCACGACCATGCGTATTCCCGTGCACTCGACATGGCAAGGCTAGACCCGCCGCGGATGCCCCGCCAAGGTAGACTCATTCCCACGAAGCTTCGTTGCGTACAGTCTGCTCAGCGCTGTCTCTTCTCTTCGCCCTTTTGAATCAAGGCGAAGCTGACTGGCTAAACAAACACCCAGTTAACCCGAAGTACCTTCGACGAGTCTCCTTTTCTAAGCTACACGTTTACTGGGCCCGTCGTTCTGTTCTACGTGCTCGTTCTATTCATTGCGCAAGGCGAGGACTTTACGCTTGACTGCATAAACAAGTAAAAATACGTACTGTATTATCCTTGTAAACACGCACCGTCAACAAAAAAAAAACACCAAGAAGTGTACACCCACTTTGCACCACCCGAATGCGCCTTCTACTGTCTTCTAAGAGTCACGTCTTGGAGTGTCCTTCGGTAGCAATGATTGAGCAGCGGAGATAACGTTCGAGAGTCCCTCGGGCGATGACCCAGCCTCTGGTGAAGCTCTGGAACTTGGAAGCCTGGAACTTGGAAGGCAGTGGAAGTGAGACTGTGGAAGGAAGTTGAAGGTTTGAAGCCGAAACCGGCGAGAACGGCTGGTACGCTGGACCCGCAGGAGCGACAAAAATGAAGAACGGCCAAATTTCTTAATTCGGATACGGGGAATCGAACCCCGAGCTGCCGCGAAGCAAGAGCAGCACTCCATGAGAGGCGGCAATGTTAACCATTACACCATATCCGATATACTCATTACTTTGGCATCTTTCTTAAGATTCCACCAAGTGTCCGGAACTGCTGCACATTGACGCAATTGCATTGTCTTTCTTCGCCAACATTAATACCGTCCTTTGTTTGAGTCCTTCAATCGAAGCTTCAAGTTCGAGGAGATTACTTATACTGAACATGTTCAGTGTGGGAAATAGGGTCGTCATGAGTCTGAGCGAGCTCAAGGCCAATTCCCCGCGCGCAGGGGATGGTACGACGGAGGCAGAGGCAGAAAATGTTCAGACATAAAACTGTATCTGATAGTACATACTAGCCATTTGCCGACCTTCGCCGGAATGAAGCAATACACAATACGTACACTAGGACACCAAAGTTTACCCAGACAGTGAAAGTCAAGAGTTAGACGGCGCATTCAACAGCTGCATCAACTCTCCATTCTCCATCATCTCCGTCGCGACGTCCAGGCCTCCGATAAACTCTCCATTCACGACTATTTGCGGAAATGTCGGCCACTCGTTGAGAACCTTTATACCTAGCACGCGAGAGCCGTTAGTCCGAGATCACCATGCTCATGAACAGAGGAGGAACTCACCTTGCCTGACCCTCTCATCGGTCAAGATATCAAACGCCACAAACTCCACCCCCTTATCCCCAAACAACTTGATCGTCTTCTTCGAAAACCCGCATTTCGGTACTTCTTGACTCCCCTTCATGAATATTACGACTTTGCCCTTCTTCATGATTGCACGCATCCGCTTCTCTAGCTGCTCGGGTGTTTCTTCGTCGGAGTAGGATGTGATCTCGGGTGCGGAGGGAGGGGCGTGTGTGGTATGAGACTGGGGGGAGAAGGTGTGGGTGTGGGCGTGTTGGGAGAGGGAGGTGGTCAGGGCTGGAGCGTCGGCGCCGGAGATGCGCGTGAGGAGGGTATGGCCCTGCGAGGAGGCGTTAGGCCAGACGATCTAGACAGAGAGAAACGTAACGGACCCGGAGTAGCAAGAACGACGGAACAGACTCAATATCGAACGTTTCGGAGATGTCCTCCTGCTCCTCTGCTTGTACCTGTGACGATGGAAAGGCATGGGTGCAAGATCCTCGAAGTCCAAGATCAAACTGAAGCTCACCTGCAGTACCAAGACCTTCGGATACCTGTTCGCCAGCTCACGCACCACCGTGTTCATCTGCACACATGGTTCCGCCCACGGAGCCCAGAAGTTGATGAGCGAGACGCGATCCAAATCTTCGGTAAGTAAAGTCTGGAACTGCTCGGGGGATTTGACGTCGAAGAAGTTGGTGGGCGAGAGGACTGCTGCTGCTGCCATGGTGTAAGAGGGAGGTCTGGTCGAGTTTTGGGCGTGATGAAGGTGGACAAGATGGTGGTTGACGATAGATCAGAGTCGCGTCCAGCGATCGAAGAGGTATATCAAGTTCGATGTCAGGTCATCGGACGTTCAGCATGGGGGGTCGTGGTGAAATGTCACACTCGTTCCACCATCGCCTAGCCCAAGCATAGCATCTTCACGTGTAGGAAAAAGCCAATGATACCTGCGTGAAAGGCGCCAATCGCGAGGAGGAGGCTAGATGCTAGGTCATCGCTGATCTGGACGGTCCAGGCGAGAAGCGTATTAGCCACCAACGTTATCGTATACTAGATGCAACATCCGAGCATCGGAGATAGGATGGATGGATCTGATTCGACGAGAGCGGCATTACTGCTCACGATATAGGTGCCCAAATGCAGAGAGCATCTGATTGGTCATGGGCAGGTCGAGAACATACATTGGAAGAGTTAGAACAGAAGTGCTCGCAACTTCCGGCCGGCCGATGTGACAGCCCTGGCAAGGGTGCTGCAAAGGATCCAATAGAACGTCTGTTATTGGTTTATCAGACACAACGGCAAACGTAGGAAGCGGTTCTGGACCTTTCAAAGATGGATGCGTGGACGGATGAGCATTAGACTCGTAACCAGCCGCCTAAGTCGATTTTTTATGTTGTGGAAGGATCGACGTTAGTCGAGGATCCTTGCATAGCAACGACAGACGTCCTATAGAGCTGGTTACGAGTCTAGATGAGCAGGGTCTAGAACAAGTCGCGCTCGGATCACTGAGGTGGCGGTTTCGTATAAAGTTGATAAAGTTTTTACATATTTGCTCTACAAAGTTCTCACTCATCGGTTTCGTGGTCTAGTGGTTATGATTTCTGTCTCACAGTGGGATTCAATGTCGCATAGCGTCACACAGAAGGTCCCCGGTTCGACCCCGGGCGGAACCAGCTTTTTGCCGTGTCTGTCTCTCTCTTAGCCCGGCAGTGTGTCTATTTTACGGCGTTCTCACGGGGTGACGCTATTGTTTGAAGTCGCAACTGGAGCATGGCAGAGCGCTCGTTGTCGTCGACGAATAAAACTCGAATCAGCAGCATCCCATGGCATCAACACCAGAACCATTGAGTTGCTTTCTGCCACACGCGCTTATCATTATGTCTGTACCATAGGCATCTACTGCGAGACAAGCAGAACTATCTGGCAATGCTACTAAGACGGAGGCTGAATGTTCTCAGCATCACATCCCCAACACACTATACACTGTTTTCGACGGAGATGGGGCTGCTCGAGCGGAAAGTGGCTGCCTCTGCAACGGTGCGGTTGAGGTCGTCATTGTTCCCTCTGTGAAGAGGTGAGCTAATGCTGCTACGTGTAGCCTCCCGTCATGATACTGCCGATATCAAAGTCATGGGCCCTCAACAGATGCGAATGCACTCTCTAAAGCATCATCCGGCAGACGCCGTTTGAGGTCGCCAAGAGAGTCATTCGGAAGCGAGGGGGGGGGAGTTTTGGCCGGGCTTCTCGCTGTACTGGGAGAGGACGAGGACGAGCTATACGACGTTGCTCCTGGAAGCGGGGCCACGAGGTTGAGCCACGCGCTGGACTCGACGACTCTGGACGGAGTAGACGCCTTCGAACTCGCAGCTCTCGCACATCGTGATTGTGTGCCAGCCACCAAGCAGACCCCTCTATAAATACTGGCCAGGATCCGAGTCCCCACTCGACTTGTATTCCACACCCATCTACAAACACAAACAGTGCAGAGCTCAACACGCATCAGACAGAACATGGTCAGTATGCTCGTGTACACACATTCGTCATCCGTCTTCGATGCTGATTACCCTGTCTCCCTTTCAGTACATCTCTAATCCGCATGTCGTTGGTGGTTACCGACTCTGCCTTACCCAGGCTTGGAAATTGGCCAAAGAACTCGACCCACGATACAAGGATCACCCCTTGCCCTCTACCGAGTCCACGAAAGGCGAAAACGGGGGCATAATCGCAGACCTGTCTCTGCCCTTCGACCTTCGCGCCATTGACTAGTACTGCCGAGAGCATTACGATCGACGCGTGCAGTATTTGTCTGCCGATGCGCCCAGGGGAGTCTGGGACATCAACACGGGCACGGGAATCATCATCATGCAGATCCGTCAATCTCTGGAAGGCGAAACCCGCGGTAACCTGTTGCAGAGGTTTTAAGGGCCCAGCGAGGGAGACACCGAGAGTATGCGCCGAATCAAGTCGGAGCTTGGAATCGAAGAAGATCTGGAGTGGCATTGCGCGTATGGCAAATTTCCCATTTAACACCTGAGTACCCGGGCAGAATATACAGATTATGTAGTAAACGAAGAGAGATAGGATACATTGAAGGAGCGTATGTAAATCGCATGAGTTCCAGATTCCAGATTGTAAGTCATAATAAGCGCGAAAAAGAGAAAGAATGAGCGTATCGGAGGTCAAATTATAAACGAAACAGGCGGCAGCATCAAGCATACCACGAAAGCAACGAATAGCACACAGAAACAAACACCAGCGTCGGAGGAGAACAACGTCCAGCGTGGGAGGATAACTACAGCGTCGAAACTCATCACGACGCACTAACTCTCCTTCCACCACCCAACACGCCCACGAACCCCCTAAACCCATCACTCAACCTCTTCCTCACATTCCCCGCCCCACCCCTCCTCCTCTCCGCTTTCTCGAAGATCTGCTCTTCCAACAGCGTCTCAGGCTGAGGATGCACAATCCGTCCTCGTAGGACTTCTGCTGGGACTTGGATGCGCGGAGGTCGGTGCCGGCGCTCTCGAGGCAAGATCCCTAACGTGGAATGATCGCACCCCACCGCCTGCATCGGATCGGAGCATACCCTCCCACCTCTCTTTCCCTCATCCCTGTCTGCCAAATTCATCTCCCTCCTCAACCTCCTCTCAATCTCCAAATCATCCACGCTCTCCCTCTCCCTCAACCCTCTAGTAGCAGAAAACGACGAAGAGGCAGATCCCGCGCGTTTACGTAGTCGTGTGAAGGGGTTGTTGCTTGATGTTGAGCGGCGGTGGTGGTGTTGTTTGGACATAGAGGGTTGGAATTTAGTCGTGGCGGTAGTCGTGGAAGACGCGGGGGTAGGAGCGTAGGAGAACGCAGATGGCGGTGGCGACTTGGTAGAGGCGGGGAAACACGACGACATAGGCGTCGACGAAGGTGGTGCAGTGAAACGCCTGTTCAACGGCGGTGGACGGGGCTTGCTCGACGATGACGACGAAGCCTTGGTCGATGACGAAGCAGGCTTGCTCGATGAAGAAACAGGCTTGCTCGACGACGAAGAAGGCTTAGTCGAGGTCGAAAAACCCTGGGTATATGCGCCCGAACTCGACTGCGAATGGGAATGCCGCCACGGATACGCAAACCCTCCGCTCGTCTTCTTCCCCTCCCTATCCCCTTCAAACCAGCCCGCACCCTCAGACGACCGTCTCTTCTCTCCCTCAGACGACCGTCTCTCCCCACCCTCCGAGGAGCGTGTCTGCCCACCCACCCACTCGTCCTCCCTCGCCCTAACACCCCCACCACCCTGCAGATAATTCGAATATGCGCCTCCGCTCGCACCAAAGAGAGCAGGCAACAACCACGCATTGGGCATGCTGCTCACGCACTGCTCCTCCGACTGCACTTGCGCCAAGTCCGACCTCCACTGCGCCGAGTCT